GACCGAACTACTATATATAGGAGGACATAAGTAATAAAAACTATACTTTATTTATAATGTCAGGCTTTAATTTTCATCACAGACTTCTAAGATAAATGCTCTCTTCACTTTACAAAGGAAAAGATACAGTTAGCCTTCCTATGGGTTCTGAATCCATGGATTCAACTACCCTTAGACTGAAAATATTTAGAAGAAAACTGCTGACCATGTATGGACTTCTTTTGTAATTATCTTTTAAACAGTACAGTGTAACTATTTACATAGCATTTACATTGTGTTATTACGGGTAATCTAGAGATGATTATAAGTATATGAAAGGGTGGGTATAGGTTATATGCAAATGAGAAACTCGAGCATCCACTTTTATATCCTTGTAGTCTTGGAACTAATCCACAAGGATAACAAGGGATGCCTGACTGCATAAGCATAGAGATGATGAACATTTTTTCATGTATTCGTTGACCATTTGTATTTCTTCTTCTGTGAAGTGTCTATTTCTCTTGTCCATTTCTTAACTAGGTCCTTAATTTAAGGTGTTTTTTTGTTTTGTTTGTTTTTAGTTTTATATTCTAGATATTAGTCCTCTGTCTGAGGCTGGCAAGTTTTTTTTCCCATTCTGTAGGTTTTTTCTCTCTACTGATGATTTTGCTGTACAGAAACTTTTTTGTCTGAATTAATCACATTTGTAGATTTTTTTTTTTTTGCTATTTTTTGTGTGATTTAGGTTCTATTTAGGAAATCCTTTCTTACACCTGTGTCTTCAAATCTTTTACCTATTTTATCTTCCAGTAGGTTTAATGTTTCTGTTTTAGTGTTTAAATCTTTTATCTATTTTGATTTAATTTAGTATATGGGAGAGAAAAGGGTCCAGTTTCAATCTTCTGCAAACAGATAACCAGTTTTCCCAACATCTCTTGTTGAATAGGCCATCTTTCCTCCAACATAAGTTTTTAGCTCCTTTGTCAAAAATCAAATAGTTGAATATGTCTGGGAAGGTTTCTGTGTCCTCAGTTCTGTTCCATTGATCCATGTGTCTGCTTTTGTTCCATTACCATGTCATTTTTAATCACTATTGGCTTTGTAGTATAGCTTGAAGTCAGGTATTGCTGTGCTGCCTGCTTGCTCTTTTGCCATATTGGATCTCTTCTGGCTCCATATGAATTTTAGGTTTGTTTTCTCTAGATCTATAAATTATGCTGTTGGTATTTTGATTGGGACCACTTTGAATCTGTAGAGTATTTTTGACAGTATTGGTTCTGCCTATACAGGAGCAAGGGACATCTTTCCATTTTCTGGTGTCCTCTTAAGTCTTCTTCAGAGTACTGTACTTTCTTTGTAGAGGTCTTTCACTTCCTTAGTCAGGTTAATTCCTAAATACTTCATTCTTCTTTAAGCTACTGTGAATGTTTCCTTCTCATTCTGTTCATTGTGGTGTACAAATACTGATGATTTTTGCATGTTAATTTTGTGTACGGCTACTTTGCTAAAGTTCATTACTAATTCCAGAGTTTTTTGGTGAAGCTCTTTGGGTCTTCTGTGTAGAGTATCCTGTCATCTGTAATAATGATAATTCGAGTTCTTCCTTTCTTCTTTTCATATATATATATTTCTCTTGTCTAACTGCTCTGGCTAATATTTCAAGTACTGTGTTGAATAGAAGAGGTGATACTGCACATTCTTATCTTGTTCATGACTTTAGGGGGATTGCTTTTCATTTTTCCCCATTTAGTATGATGCTAGCTATTGGTTTGTCATACATAAATAGCCTTTACCATATTCAGGTCCTTCTATACCTGTTTTCCTCAGGGGTTTTTTGTTTTTGTTTTTGTTTTTAAATCATGAAAGAGTTGGATTTTGTCAAAAGCCTTTTTTGCATCTATTGATAAGGTAATTTTTTTTTACCTTATTCCTTTTACCTTACTCATGATATATTACATTTATTAACTTATATATGTTGAAGCATCCTTGATCTCTGGATGAAACTTACTTGATCGTGATGTATAGTCTTAGTGATAATGTGCTGCATTCTGTTTGCTAATATTTTGTTGAGGATTTTTGTGCTAATGTCATTGAAGAGATTGTCCTATAGTTCATTTTTTAGTTGGGTCTTTATCTGGTTTTAGAGTCGGGGATGCTGGCTTCGATCAGTGAGTTTGGGAGCACCCCATCCCTTTCAATTTCTTTGGAGAGCTTGAAAAGTATTGGTGATAAAACTTAAAGCTTTTGTAGACATCAATAGTGAATCCATTGTGTCCTTGGCTTTTCTTAGTTGGTGGGTTCTTTTTTACTATGTCAACTTCATTGCTTGTTACTGGGTTGTTAAGCATATTTATGTCTTGAGTTAGTTTTGGTAATTTGTGTGTGTCTATAAATCTCTTCAAAAATTTGTTAATTTGGTGAAATATAATTTTTTGAAATAGTTACTACTACCTTCTACTTTTAGACAGTGTCTGTTGTGATTTCACCTCTTTCATTTCTAATTTCATTGATATGAGTCTCTTCACTCTCTTCGTGTGTCTGGTTAAGTGCTTATTTATTTTATATGTTATTTTTGAGAACCAGCTCTTCAATTTGTTGGATTTATTTTTACAGTATTTTTCGTCTCAATTTCATCGATTTCCACTCATTTTTATAATTATCCTCCTTAATTTCAATTTGGGTCAAGTTTGTTGATTGTCAGGTATCTTAAGATTTTTCGCAAGGTCCTTTATTTGGGCTTACTGTGTTTGCCTAATGTGAGCACTGGCTGTGAAGGATTTTCCTTTTAGGACTGACTGCTTGTATACTGTCCCAGAGGTTTCATTGAGTTGTACAGTCAGTGTCATTAATTTCGAGAAATTTTTAAATTTCTTCTATGACTCATTGATTGTGTAGGAATATGTTGTTAATCTTCCAGAAGCTTTTTCCTTTCCAAAATTTTTTCTGTCATAGATTTCTATTTTCATTACACAGTCGTCTGAGTATTCATGGGGTAATTTCAGTTCTTTTATATTTATTCCCACGCTTTGTGGACTAGTATGTGATCTATTTTGGAAAAAGTACCGTGTGCTGCTGAAAAGAATGTATACTCTGTTGTAGAGGAGTGAAATACTCTGTATATATCTATTACATCCATATGTTCAAGGGTATGTTCAGCTCTGAAATTTCTTTATTTTTTGTTTAGTTGATCTCTTTCTTTGCAAAAGTCAGGTTTTAGAGTCCCCTGTTATGCTTGTATTTTTAATCTTTTAATTTCAACAGTTTTTGTTTTATAAAGATAGGTTCTCCAGTATTCCGTGCATATATGTTTATTGATATTATTCTTCTTGTGGGATTGTTCCCTTTACTAGTATGTAGTGATCTTTGTCTCTTCCAATCAGGGTGGTTTGCTTGTTTTTGAGACAGGGTCTCCCCATGTAGTTCAGGCTGGTCTTGAAATCACTATGTAGCCCAGGGTGGACTCTTGCAATAATCTTCCTGCCTCAATCTCCCAAGTGCTGGATTACAGGCATGTACTACCATGCTTGGCTCTCTAATGAGTTTTAATTTGAAGTTTACTATATCTGATATTAAATTGCTACCCTGCTTGCTTTTGGGGTCCTGGTACATGAAAGGCTGTTTCCATCCTTTAATTTTTAGTCTGTGAATATCTTTTTGGATTAGATGAGTTTCTTGAATGCAGCAGACTGTTGGATTGTGTTTTTTGATTCAGTCTGCCAGACTGTGTCTTTTGATTGCTGAGTTGAGGCTGTTAACGTTGAAAGATATTACTGAGAGGGGTTGGTTATTTACTGTCATTGCCTTCTTTATCTGTTGATAATCTTTTCTTTTCCTGATTTTTTTTTTTTTTCTGTTCATCCATTGACTTCACTAGTTTCCTCTGTGCTTTTAGCTGAGTCCAGTTCATTGCTTTTGTGGAGAATATTCTTGAGTATTTTCTGTGGTGGTGGTTTTGCACTCATAAATCTTCTGAGCTGGTCTTTTTCATGGAAATGCCTAATTTTTCCATCTAGTGTATTTTGAAGTATAGCTTTGTGGGTAATTAAACTGGGTTGGAAATTATTTACTTTTAGGGCTTAAAATACTTCAATCCCAGCTCTTCTGGCCTTCAGGGTTTGTTCTAAGAAGACTGCTTGATAATTGGTTTACATTATTATGTGATTTTTTTTTCCTCTGCATTTAAAATTTTTGCTGGTCATCTGTAAATTTAATAAGAATATGCCCTGGTGAACTTCTTTTGTCATAATTCTTTGGTGTTCTATAAGCATCACTTACTTGTGCTTTAAACTCTTATTTGGGAAATTTTCTTCCATAATTTTTGTAAACATGTTAGTGAATCTGTCTATCCTGTAGTTTTTCTCCAACTCCAGTTGGCCTTAGATTGACCTTATTGTTGTCTTCTAGTAGCTGCATAGTCTTTTCTTGTTTTCTTATTCTCTTTTTGGCTTCTCTGAGCTCTTTATTATAATTCACTATTTTGTCCTCATTATCAGACACTCTGTCATCACATTGGTCATTTCTGTAGTGTATGATCCTGTACTGTTTTTTATTTCAGGCATTTCTGTCTGATATCTTTTTGTGGATTCCATTCCTTGTTGATTCTGTCATTCAAATTTTGAACTGTTTTGGTTAGCTCATCCAGTTTTTTACCTATTTCTCTGAAATTTACCATGGGCTTGTCGAGTGTGATTGCTGTGAAATTTTGTTTCATTTCCTTTTTAATTTTATATGGCCCTCTCTTTTTTCTCCTCCCTTTTTTTTGGGGGGGTAACTGTAGAGAAGTGAGGAGTTTGTGGCTCATGGAGATTTTTATTAGGATGCTGCCTGCCTGTGAACACGTTTCAGTTTTGTATGTCCAGTGCTATTTACTTCAAGTGATTTTTGTCTCTGTCCCTAGGTTTTGCCAAAATAATTGCTTCTGGTTATTATAGCATCCCCAGATTTAGTCTTGTAACACTTCCATGTGGTTGTCCTTGCTGTTACGAAGACTTCCCCTCTTTATCTGTTCTGTCTGTATGCTGTGACAGTTTATTCACTTCACGAATTTGCATGTCATCTTTGTGCAGAGGCCATGTTAATCTTCTCTGTGTCATGCCAGTTTTAGCACATGTGCTGCTGAAGCAAACACCCTCTCTGTTTTTTTTTTTTTCTGGGTCTCACTATGTTGGCCTGATCTTGAATTTGTATCCTCTTGTCCTCCAGTATAGCTGTGATCATGGGTGTGTGCCAGTCTCTTTGCCTGGCATGTTTACTACTTTTGAACCCACCAGTATAAGTTAATTTTGTTGACTATTCCATGAAATTTTTTCGTGAGTTTAATCAGATAAGTTTTGTTTTCTTAATTTAGTTTTATTTTTTGGTGCTGGCGCTCAAACTCAGGGGCTTTCACATGCTTAGCACACACTCCACTGCTTAACCATATTCCCAACCTCCGAAAAATAGTCTTTAAACACAAAGTAATTGGGCTTACATTAGAAATTATACTGTACTTGAAAAGTTTTGTATTAAACTTACTGAAAAATACTTTGAAAATAGACTTTTCATTTGAAATAGATCTGTACTGTAGGACTGCTTAACCTTTATACTGTCTACTTATTTTTGAAAAACACATGAGAAAATTGAGTATGAGCCAGAAATATACCAAACAGTGGGAAAGCACAGCTCATGTTTAAATTTAAGCTAGTGCTTTATACTACTCTACATGACTGCAGGGATGTAGATAAACTTTTTTTGAGTCATTCTATATGTAGTTTAATTATTTTAGCTAAAGAATGTATCACTTGCAGACATAGTTGTGCACACTTTAATCCCAGTGCTCTGGAAGGCTGAGAGGCAAGAGGATCCCAAATTCAAGCCCAGGCTGGGCAATTTAGCAACTTAGGAAGAACTTGTCTCAAAATTTTAAAAATAGGGGCCAGGGATTTAGCTCAGTGGTTCCATTGCCTGCCTCGCAAGCTCAAGGACCGGAGTTTGATCCCCAGTACAAAAAATAAATAAATAACAAACAGGGCTGATGATGGAGCTCATTGTGAAGGTTCTGAATTGAACCCCAGCATCAAAAAGAAAAGACTAATTTAAGAACTGTCTGTTGTACTGTTTCCAAGAATAAAAACATAATTTACTACCAACTCTTATTGTCCTGGCTTCTTGCCACTGCTTCCTTTTTCTTTAGTGTGAATGGTAGAAAATTTCATTAAATTGGATATTGCATTTATAGAAGATGCAACTTGCCTGCCTTTGGTACCAAAATTTAGAAATGAAAAGTATTAATGATAAAAGTTAAGCAAAGCATTGCTGTGTATTTTGTTTTGTTGTTTTCTAAACAAAATCTCAAAACTTACCTTTAGAAAAACACATTTGCAATATGCCGTCATGCTGCAGAATGTTGAGAGTAAATAAAATCTTCACAGTTTTAAAGCAGTTGCTGAGAGACTGTGATGTAAGACACTTACGATGTTAGATGCTTATGATGTTAAAAGTGGCGGCTTTTGTCCTCCTGTCAGCCTGTAGCTTTTCCTGTGTTACTCCGCATCTGTCACCTCTGCTTTCTCTGTTGGAGAAAATGCTTCCTGGGATTCTGAGTGCATCAACAGCTAGTCAGCTGTCTGTCTGGTGATGTTGTATTGCTGTGCTGCAGTCAGGAGAAAAGGAGCTTGGCCAATGGGATTATTTAGTTTTTATGTAGCAAAATTGCAAGACCAAGTTAGACGTTTTTTGTGTAATTACATTAGAAGTTGATTTTTCTGCTCCCAGAAATGATTCCTCTTTGTGTCCAATTTTGACATTGCTTTTCATGTAGAAAAGACAAATTTAACCTACCCGTGAATATTCAGTAACTGAACAGATGAATAAATACCTCAGGGATAGAAAATGTGTGGGCTAACCTGTAATCGTGACTGTATATTTTTTTCTTTTTATCTGTTCCATTATATCATATGTGGCATCTTTCAGTAATGACAGTGTGTGTATAGTGATGTTGAGAAACTGTTTCAAGTCATAAAGGAAGACTGGGATATAGTTGGGTGGTAAAGAGCTTTCCTAGCATGCATGAAGCCCTGGGTTTGATCCCCAGCACTACACAAAATAAAGTTATCAGTGAGCATGTATCTGTCGATGATTTGCTTTTCCGTGCACATTTTTCCCCCTATTACTGGGGAATGAGCCCAAGGGCTTCACACAGCTGTCTCCCATCCCACCTCCCTTTTAAAAATAATTTTTAATTTTGAGTGAGGTTTTTACTGGGTTGGTAAGTGGCCCAAACTAGGCTTGAACTTGGAATCCTCCTGTCTCGTCTTTCTGGAGTGCTGAGATTACAGGCATGTGCCAACGTGCTTTCAGGATGCAATATTTTCTTATTAAAAACCTGTTACAAGTATTTCTGAAAGGATAAAACAAAAAACTATATTCTGTGGAATAATCAAGATGGAAATGGTAGGGTGCCATTTGTTGGCGGTCACTTTTTGTGAGAACACCTATTTATGTATGGAAAGGATTGACTGCCGAGGAGGGAGAAGTCAAAACGATGGCTGTGATTCGTTTGTCCCACACGTTCACTAAGTGTCGTATACTAACCACTAAACCGCAAAAGCATGGTCTCTTCCTTTATAAATCTTTAAAGTGAGAGGTAATTCATATAGTAAAAGCTATGACAAGGGAAATAAATGATTCTGTGAGCTTATAGCTAGTGGTAGGTCTATTTCCCGAGCAAGGGAAGTGGTAATAGTGACTTGAGAAGTTCCCTTTGGCCTGTCATTTGAGGTGAGGCTCTAGTTGAATATGGTTTGGTTTGGTTTGGTTTGAGACAGAGTCTCACTTTGTAATTCAAATTGGCCTTGAACTCACTGTGTAGTCCAGGCTGGCCTCAAACTTTCAGCAGTCCTCCTGCTTCAGCCTCCCAAGGGCTGGCATTATAGGTGTGTGCCACCACACCCAGCTCTGGACACAATTTTTAAACTACTAAATTAAAAAAATGTTCACTTTAAAAATTTTCTGTTTTTCCCTCTTCCCCAGCATCCATCAAACAGTGTGCAGAACATCTTATATCACGATTTGTAGACTGAAATGTTAGTATTCCCCCTCTCCTTTTCAAATTACATGTGCAAGGTTATCAGCAAATACTTAGAAATGTTCTCTGAGTTTTCTTCATTTAAGTAAAAGAAAAAAGGATGGAATGGCCCAGGAAATTTGCTATTGTTTTCTGGGTCAGTCTTAATCTGAATCCTCAAATATGCAAAGATTTTAAAAATAGCAAACTAGGAATTTACTTCTGAATTTATAGAGAAGTTATTCAGAACCGTAAGTTTGAATCAATTAGCAGTTGAGGCTAATTGAGACTGCAAATATTAGGACGTTCTTGGAAAACTTTAAAGATGAAATAGCACTGTGCCGTGTAAATTTTCAGTATTTTGCTTGAAGTATAATTGTTTGCAAAAATAGGTCAGTATCTTACTTTTATAGTCACTAGAGCCCTCCAGCTAAATGTAACTTAGATAATATTCAGGCAATTTTATAGTATACTTATAAAACTTACTTTAGTGTGCAGAAAACACCTTTGTAGAAATTGAGACAACTACCTTATGCTGTAGTAGTTCTGATCACAGCTTATCTAGATGATGTTGATACATTAAGAAATCATGAAACATGATCACAAGTGTTAGGGCTCTGTCTAGATACACTTTGCAAAATTGAAATTGCCACTAATTGTACATGCTGTGGTTTCTATACTTGTAATTTTTTTTTTTTTCTGATATGGCAAAGGCTATTTTTTCTTAATTTTGGGGTAAAGATGCTCTCTGCCACAGAAGAGCTAAGTCCTTATTTTGCCTAGTCAATTGGTTGGCTTTAGTTTACTTTTTGAAATTTGTTTTTAAGCTTTTATTTTGGATAAATTTAGCCAACAGTTCATTTGCATTAAAATTGTTTGAAGTTTAGTTGCTTGGACAGAGAGTAAGTTAAATATTTAATTGAAAAAGTAAATATTTAGTCGAGACTATAAGATGAAAATTTTGGGGGCTGGGGATTTAGCTCAGTGGTTCCACCGCCTGCCTTGCAAGCACAAGGACCCAAGTCGGATCCCCGGTACAAAAAAAAAAATTTTGGTAGCTAAAAATTTTCCAAGTAACTTTTCAACCTTTAAAATTAACAGATATTTTCCGTACTAATATATATATTTATATTCTGTAGTCATTTTTCGTGATGCTGTTAACACGATTCCAGAGTGCTGTGGACTCCTAGAGAGTCTTTCCAGATTCTCGAGAGGCAGCAGGGTTTTACATTTATGAAAGGTAGGGAAAGATAACGTGCTGCGAGAGTGAGTGTGAGCCAACAGAAGTAAGAGCAGAAGTCTAGGCTCTGCAGGGTGAGAGCAGATCGCGGGAAAGAGCACAGTGACAAACAGGTCAGTGGCTGCTGTCTCTCGTACTGCACATTCTGACGTCCGCTTTGTGCGGCTGTCAAAAACCTGCTTAATCTCCTGCTGAAAGACTTGAACATGGCATTTTCGGAGTGGTCCCGGGTGCAGGGCTTGGTGTCTGTGTCCTGGACCTCTGTGATTGACGGATCACGTCCACTTACCCAGTGGCCTTACCCGGCTCTGATCTCTCTCTCAATTCTATGTAGAATTCATACAAAACTGCAAAAAACTGCTAGTGTTTTAAGAAGCTTTATAACTCACGTCTCCTCTATTTTTCCTCAATACTCAGGGTGAAATCTAGGGCTTGTGCCTATCAGGCAGACACTACTGCTGAGCTATATCCCCATCCTTTTTCAAATTTTCTGTTGAGATGATGTCAACTGGGGTCCTCCTGTCTCAGCCTCCAAAGTAGCTGAGACCACAGATCTCCTGTGCCATGCCTAGCTTCACCACAATTTAATCTGGAGATATTTTAACAACCCCCAGAGAACGCCTATATTTATTAACAATCTCTCCCTATTCTTTTCTTTCCCAGCCCTTATCAACTTCTCATCTACTCTTCTCTATCGGTTTGATTTTTGGGGTTATTTCATATACATTGTAAACGGAATATAGGTAACTTTCATCAGTGGTTTTTATCCTTTGTATACAATATTTGTGTTTCATAAAATGGCCAGCTATGAGTAGGTTAGCAGTTTCTCACCCTCTCACTCTCT